GTCCCCTCCCTGACACGGCCTCCCTGCCTTGCTCCCCTTTCAGGAAGGTGGGCCGCCCGAGCCCACCACCTGTCTTTAGTCAGGTTGTCCAGCACCAGCCTGTGGCCCCCCATCTGAGATGCTCTGGGGTGGGGAATGGCAGAGGAGGTGGGGTGACCTCTCCAGGGAAGCAACCCGGCAGCCCACATGAGCCCAGCCTCCACTCTGACGGGGAGAGACCTATGGCACCTCCAGGGAGCTCTGCCAGGCCAGAGGGGGACTCCCTCGGCTTGGCCAGGAGCCTGAGCATCTGCTGCACTCAGAAGGAGCCCCGGGTGGGCACCGCAGAAGCTACAAATCTGCAGTGCTGACCACACTGTGAGCCTCACCCCCATGGGGACCAGACAGGCCCTTGCCTGTGGCCTTGGAACACTTTCCATCACCCAGATCGCCACATTTCGGCGTCCACCCCCACCCGCCCCTTGCAAATACCCCCCCCCCAGGTCCAAGAGCAGCAGCAGCACCCCCCACGCTCCCAGGAGCGGGCTCTGCGCTCGGTGCTGCCGGCCACATCCACCTAAATCCCAGGACAACCCTCGCGGAGAGGAGAAACTGAGGCTCGGGCTCAGACACTTCCCGTGAGCCACCCAGCTTTCAATGGCAGTGGGCTCGCCCTTGTGAGCACTGCACCACGCGGGCTCCCGGTTGCCCCATCCGTCACCTCTCTGGAAGGTAACTCTGCCTCCCCCTGTGGATGCAAACTCTGCCCACCTGCCTCATTCCAAACCTTCCTGGAGATCCGTGTCCTCCAGAAAGCCTTTCTAGACGGATGCCCGGCAGCGTGAGATGTGCCCCCACCTCCCCAGCCCAGGTCTCATGCTCGGCCCGGCCTGGAAGCCCATGACAGAGGGGCTTCTGCTACCCCATGCGTGCATGGCAGCTCTCCTCCCCACACCGAAACCGTGGGTGTGCCCGGTCCCGGGTTCTGGACACAGAGAGTACCAGGCCACTGTCCCCTTATCGCTGCAGAACAGGCACCAGCCGAATCGCCCAGGCCCGGCTCCTCCAGTCCAGCCGAGTGAACTCAACGCCACACGGCTCCCGCCTCCTGCCCCAAAGGTGCCAACGACAGGGAGCTGGTACTCATGAGGGGCCTGCGTCTGGCTGAAAAGCAGGAGGCGTCACCCGAGAGGCCCACTGGCCTTCATCAGGGACAGGTCTGTACCCATCACCAAGCAACAGGCCTTGTCCTTCTGGGAGGAAAGTGGCACCTGCCTCCAGCAGGCGAGGGAGCCCCTGTCCCAGAGGTGTCTGGGCTCCCAGATGAGCGGGCTTGTCCGCCTGGTCCCTTCCCCGCCCCCCACCAGGAGACCCGCTCCCTGCCCGGGCCCCCCAGCCCCACCGGCCTGCTCTCCGGGGCCCAGAGCTCCAGGACCCCTCTAGGAGGGTCCTCCAAAGAGACAGCAGAGGGTCTAGAAGGGCAGGCACAATCTGTACGCAACAAAGCACAGCTGCGGGACCGGAGTGCCGAGGTTCTGGGCCAGACTGCGTTTACACAAACATCGAGGACTTTCAGGATTCTTTCCCCGCATGCGACTACGGTTCCAGCAGACAGCGCTGAGGAAGGCGGGCAGCAGCTGGCCCTTGCAAGGGCTTTGTTACACAAAGACCAGACTTGTAATAGCGTTCGCGAGAACAGATTTGGCCTGCTCTCACCCAAGAACATGCCGCCCAACAGCTCCGTGCCTCCACCGACCCAGGGTGAGATCAGGGAAGGAGTCATCCCTCTGGGCCCATCTCCCCGGGGGATGGGGCGGGGGGGATCAAAACTCTCTAAAAAAAAAAATCACATGAGCAAAATACAAAACTCTCTTCTTGCTCCTACATGGGGGTTCTCCACAGAGCCCCAAGGTCATCCTGCAAGGGAAGGCCGAGGCCAGTGTGGGACGTTCACGCCCATGAAGACCACTGCCACCCTCTCAGTGCCCGGGGGAGAAGTGAACCCGACAGACATGCCCATGAGAGAGGGCAGGCTGAGTCCCCATGCCTCCCCAACAACGTGACAGACCCAAAACGAGAAGGGTGCTCCCCGGGGCAGAGGACAGATGTGCCCGGGACGTGGGGCATCAGCAGATCCACACACCCCACACACATCCACCTGAGGCAGCTTCCTGTCAGCCCTGTAGGAGCATGCTGCTCCAGCCTGGACACCCACCCTGCACCCCACCCCAGCTGCCTTCCCCTCTGCCCTGCGGGGCATGCCACCCTGGCCCGGATACTCCCACTAGCTCCAAACCTCCCAAAGACACCGACGAGGGCCCGCTGGCTCCCCTGCAGGATTCCAGTCTGCAAGCACTGCAAACCACCCCAGCAACGCCGTGGCTCAGAACTTGCCAGGCTTTGCTGGTGGCCCCTGGGGCTTCTGTTCTTCAGCAATGAGTGCGTGAGTCGTGACAGGCCGTGTCCGCGGGCCCAAGAACTCTGGGGGCACAGCAGCGGCTGAGGGGCTGCCAGTCTTCCCCCGATCCCTTTCGTCCTACCTTGCACAAACCCCGAGACACCACGCGGGCAGCCCCACGGACCCAGACCAGAGGTCCTCCAGCTCTGCTCTCACCACTCCGGCTGCCTCCCCAGGAGAGTCCCAACTCCCGGCGGGCACGCCTGGCCTGGCCCTCTGATCCGCTCCAACTGGCCCCTCCTTGTGCCCCATTCTCCAATGGACCAGCTCATTCCGGCCTCCCCCGCTTCTGCCTGCTGCCCAGGACCTGAGTGCTCTCCTCCTCCCTCCTGCAATTGAATTCCGACTTTCGCCCAAGGTCTGCCTCCTCCACTGCGACCTTTCCCTGCCCGGGCCCCGCTGCACTGTATCTGTCACTGCTCCTCTAGGTCGTGCACTGTCCTCCTCCTCAGACTTTGCTGACGGTTCCTTCCCCACCTCCAACCGTTCCAGGCCCAGCCCCCAACACCCAAGTGCACTCCAAGCTCCTGGGACACTTAGGGAGGCCATGCCGGTCCCTGAGCTCACACACCCTTCCTCCCAGAAGTCCAAGGGCTCTAACGCCTGACCCCTCTGCCTTTAGAGCCCTTTCAGCTTGTCAGAGCACAGAACAGGACGACCGATGCACACAGGGAACCAGAGGTTCCCTAAGAGTGAGAAATCTCCCCCGGGACCCACAGGGCTGCCCACTGTCGCACCAGGATGGTCTCAATGAGACCATTGTCTCCAACCAAATGAGAGGGTCAAGAAGCCGCCTGGGAGCCAGGGCAGAGGCCGCCAACATCTCCACATGGGGCCTGTCGGGGTCAGGATGGAGTCACACCCGGGGACCCGGAGGCAGAGGTGCGAACTGGAACAGCTATGGGACCACACCACCCCCAAATCTCCCCCCGCCCCGCCTCGGGGCCACCATGGAATCCTGTCCTTCCCCACACACCCCGCTGCGGCCCAAGGCTTTCAGAACCGCAAGCCAACCTCACTCCCACAGGCCCCGGGGAGGGTGCACGCGCGGTGCGGGACCTGAAGGGGGCAGCCGTCTCCAGACGGGCTGGTTCTCACACTTGGACACTTAGGAAAGGCTCCTGAGAGCAACAGTGGGAGTCTCAAAGGAGAGCCATGCTCTGGGCCCGAAAAAGGCGAAACAGAATGAAGGAGAGGTAGGGAGACCCCAGTAGGAGCACATTATCCACGATGTCCAAACAGCAGGGCAAAAGCCATCACCGCCCTGCAGACCAGAACTCCCCTTGTTCAGTGCTCCGTGCCAGAATCACAAAAGTGCTCGGGCCACTGAGCCAAGAGCAGGCGCGTCCTCTGCATGGGTGTGCCAGCCACTAGACCCCAAACACTCTAGTCTCTTCACACCCTTGCCCAAGCCAGCCCAGGCCCAGCCCAGAATCACAGCTGCTGCCACTCGGCTTGGGATCCACCCAGAAGTGCCCCACAGGTGCGGCTGACCCCAGGTAGACCATGCGTGCTGCAGAGCTCGGGACACACAGATCCCAGCCCTGGCGCTGCACACACACCGCCCCCCCCCCCGGGGGGTTAGAGGACCGCCTGGCTGGGCCTGGCACCTGGAAGTCTAAAACTCCTTCCAGCATAGCCGCCCCAAGGCCGGGCCCACCAGAGGGCTCTGCCCAAGGCTGCCTGGGAGCCCCTCGGAGGGGCGGGGGCTCCAGGTCCCAGCAGAGGCAGGCCCGCCCCTCAGAGTTCCGGCCCCAGAAGTGCTGTCTGCAGACTATTGTGTGAGCTTCCCTCCCGACCGCTTTATTTACTCCCCAGGACGCCAGGACGCAGAGCCACAGGCAGTCACGAGGACGCACGAAGGCGCGCGCACACACACACACGGACACACACACGGACACAGGCTCAGGGCTGGGGGAAGCCCGGCGCACTCGGACGGAAGAGCCCCCCAAATCTCTGCACACTCTGTACACCCCGAAGGGGGGAGGGGACCAAAATGCGCTCCCTACCGGCCCGCAGGCCCCTCCTCCCCCGCGCCGCCCGACTCCAGGAGGCGGAAGGGGGTGCCCCGGGCCTGGATGGGGGCCCAACGGGCGCCCCCCTCTAGACCCCGCCGGCCCGAGCCGGGTCCGCTCGGCGGCCTCACCGGCCGGAATTCGGCTCAGTCCGGCCCCGAAACGTGTGGGGGAGGGCAGCCGCGCTCTGGGCAGGACGCAGAGGCGGATGGCCGGTTCCCCGCCCCGCCGCAGGGCCGCGGGGGCCCGAGGGCCCGACGGGGAGCGCCGCGGGGAGGGGACCGAGCGACGGCCGCGAGGGAGCCGCGCGCCCCGGCCAGTTCCGCGGGCGCCCCGCGAGCCCTCGAGGGGACTGTCGCCGCTCGGCAAATACAATAAAAGGAAGGAAGCCGGGAGGCAGCGCGGGGGCCGCCAAGGCGCGCGGGCCCCCGAACCGGGTCCTCCACGTAGGCGACGCGGGCGCGGGACAGGGGGCGCGCGGCGGGAGGGCGCCCCTTCGGGGGTTCCCGCCCGCCCCTCCGCGCGTCCGCGGCGCGCCCGGCACCCACCTTCGAAGTCCGAAATGATCCCGTCCAGCTGCGCGTTGACCGCGGGGTCGGACATGGTGGCTGGCGGGCGGCGCGGCGCGCGGAGGGCGGCGGCAAGGAAGCGCCCCGGCGGCCCGGGCCCTGCGCCCGCACTCCCGCCGAGCAGAGCTGGCCGCCCGAGCCCCTCGGCCCCTGGGCTCGGCTGAATGAATGGGGGAGGCGGGCGGGCGCCGGGCCTCGGCTCCCCGCGCCCCCGCCCCGCCCCGCCCCCGCCGCCCGGGCGGATCAGGTTCCCGCACCCGGCCCGGCCTCCCCGGCTCGCACTGGCTGCTCCGCCCGCCCGTCAAGGCCGGGGCCTGGCGGGGGGGCGGGGGCGGGTGCTGGGGCCCGAGCGGACGCCGCGGGGACAGGCCGAGTCCTGGGCGCCCGACGCGGCGCCCCGCTCCTCCCCGCCTGGCCCGCGCCCCGGGGACGGCGACCGACGCGGCTCGGCCCCTCCCCCCCGGACGCCCCGCCGCGGCCAGATGTGGGCGGATGTGGGGGCCGGGAGGCGGCGCGGGGGCGGTGCCGAGGGGGGAAGAGATTCCTCCCCTTCCCTGGGGCGCAGGGTTCCTCCTGAGGGAGGTTTTATTTACGCAGCCAAACAAAGTTCACCGCCGCCGCCGCCGCCTTCCCGCGCTCAGCGCCTGCAAGGGTTAAGCGCCCGAGCTGCCGGGCCGGGGCACCCCCGCCTGTGGGCCCGGAGCCGCGGAGCGAGGGGCGAGCGCAGGAGTCACATGGCCCCGGGGGGGGGGTGGGCGACCCTCCAGCGATTCCCGATCCCTACCTGTCCACCCCCGGGGTCGCTTGCTGCACCCTCCGAGCCAGGTGACAGAAAAGGTGCCAGCCTGGGGGGGGGGGCAAGGAAGGAGCGCCCCTGCCAGAACAGTCAGAGAAATGTGCCACCTCCAGCTTCCACAATAAGGGGGGCAGCTTGGTGGCAGAGCATAAACCTTGGTCTTTCCCCCTGGTAAGGCGACGATATTCCCTAGGATCTGAAGGAAGGAGTTCCGTAATGGGAGAAAGGGGGCTCCCCATCTCCGCTGTACCTCAGGCCTGGTCTTGCCCTCCAAGACAGCCGTTTCTACACGTGCCCATCCAAACACTGATCAAATTCTGTCCCCTACAAGGAAGGCAGGCAGGTCCTCCAGGCTGGGGACAACGGGACGGGTTGGAACTTGCAAAGCAAAAAGACGGAGCCCCCAGGAAGGGCCCTCCGGGGCTGGTCCCCACAGCGGAGGGGGCCTCCCTTCCGCTCCCCCTGCTAGTTAGTTGGGCGCGGGGCTCCAACCTACTCTCCCGCTCATTATCTTAGACCCAGAACCTCTGCCCGAAGTCAGGCCCGGTGAGAGTCCACGGCGGGGAATACACCCTCCCCGCTGGTGCCTGTCCTCTGTGTGAGGCCTGGGAGTGCCTGAGAGCTGGTCCTGGGTCTCAGGTTGATCACTGCCACTCCCCTCCCGGCCCCCACACCCCTAGTCTGGAAAGATCCCAGATGGGCAGGGGATGATGAGGCCCGCCTGCCCTCCCAGGTACTTCCTCACCTCTTTCAGAGAATACACTGGGTTGGATGGCTTTATCAAGTAGATGAAATCGAGTCCTTTCTTTTTAAGAAAAGCAGTCACTCCCTCCCTCATGCTTTGGATATTTTGAACTATTTTCAACTAAGGGAGTTTGTGGACATGGAACTGCAAAACCACAGACATTTCAGATGCGCACACACCCTCCTCTGCCTGGGAGCCCGGGTTTCAGCAAGGGAGTCACGGCTGCCATGGAGGGCACCCCGATGGCCTTCCCAGTGGCCCTGGCATGTCACGTTGTAAAGCCAGTACCTAGGCCTGCCTGACGGCCCAGCCCTCTGGGCCACCTGTCCACCCAGTACTGGGGAGTCTGGTGGTCCACTGCCCCTACGAAGCAACCTAACTACCCAGGCCCCTGAGAAGATGCTGGTCCACAGCATTATTCTCCAGTGTTTTTATAAAAAGCACCTGGTGAGTGTAGACACACCCATGCGATTGTTCTCCCAGAGAGCGGGCATGGAGTTCCACCAGATTAGCATAGGGTCAACTTATTGTGCATTCTTCATGTCCATTCACAGTGGAGCTGAACAGACGTGGGCGTATCTCCTCGGGGAGCCCAGCCAGGGTGCACGCCTCGCCAAAATGCTCCCCTGTGGGAACCTAAAGGACAATGGCAGGAGGGAACCAACCTCCACAGCCAGAAAGTGCCCCATGTTGGCATGACTGCACTCTAGAGCCCATCCGGTCCATACCCCCGCCTTCCGTTTAACCACCGGGGCCACGGCTGCCAGGCCTTGACACCTCCAGGTAAGGAGATTCCCCGTGCTCCCTCCGGAAACCCTGCCCAAGGCTTGGCCACACTCCCAGCCAGGAAGTTCGCCCCTGTATCTAACCAACTGCTCTAATTGTACATCATTTATTTCCTCTTTTTTTTTCTGTCTTCAGAGGAGATGGGAAACAGCTGGGCACCACCCTTCACATAATAATCACCTTCTCCAAACTCGAAGACAATCCGGCCGCTCCTCGGCCTTCTCTTTCCCTGCTGAAATCGTGCACCCAGCCCTGTCTCAGCCCAGCCTTTGATCACCTCTGATGGCTTCGTCCGGTCCGCAGAGTAGGCCTGATCCTGATGGGCAGGTGAGGGGTCCCTAGGCCCCTTCTCAGGGCAGAACAGTCAGGGCGGGGCAGGGGGGTTAGGACGGGCATTCCTGGCAGGGGCGCTGGGCAGGTAAAGTGAGTAGCAGCAGAGAGAGGAAAGCGAGCTTAAACTTGGCAAGAAAAAGAGAACCACAAGGCATCCACATTCTGCAGTGGTACCCTCTTCCAAGGCCATGGGGAAGGCAAGACTGTAGGTCTGGCCCAAGGGGAAAGTGTGATTAGAGGGGACACTGGAGGGGCGACCCGCCTCCCAGGTCCCCCCGTGAGACCTGTGATGGGTGCTCCAAAAACACACATCCACCCGAACCTCAGAATGGGACCCAATTCGGTATAAGGATCTCTGCAGATGTAATTAAGGTGAGGATCTGTAGATAAGATAACTCTGGATCAGGGTGGCCCCTAAATCCAATGACAAGTGTCCCTGTAAGAGGCCAAAAAGGAGACACAGAGAAGCCATGTGAAGTTAGAGGCAGAGATTGGAGGGATGTGGCCACAAGCCAGAGACACTTGGGACCCCAGAGGCTGGAAGAGAAGAGGAAGGAATCTTCCCTTGAGCCTTCAGAGGGAGCGAGGCCCTGCTGACACCTTGATTTCAGGCTTCTGGCCTCTAGAACCGTGAGAGAAGACATCTCTGCTGCGTTAAGCCCCTCGAGTGTGGTCCTTTGTAATGGTGACCCCCAGACGCTCTACAGACCTCAACCCCACCAGCACCTCCCAAAGATGTGTATGAGGTGCACAACCTGCTGTAGGTAAGGAATGCTGCCCGGCAGGTGGCCGTCTTGAGGGGACCTGGGGGGCTGGGGAAACCCCGACAGCAAGCAGCAAGTTTTAATAACACCTGAGGGCCAGGGATGGGCAAGAAAGGTCTAATATGAAGTCCAGTTCTAAACCTTTCTGGGAATGGGAAGGAGCAGGCCTGGAGAGAAACCCCACGGGTCAGGCCCTGGTGGGATGAGCCTTGGGAAAGAGAGGGAGGGAGGAAGTCAATGGGCGGAAACAGCCATTTGGCTCAACCTCGGTATCCATGACCCGGGGCTCCATGTGGGGATTGGGGAGCAGAGGGAGGAGAGTGGCTCTTTGCCCGGCTGCCCTAGGCCTTTGGACAGGACACTCTGTTAAGTGGACCATCTGTTTCCTCAAAGACCAGGACAGGCACCCATGGTCTCGGCCCTGCCCAGGCCTGGCGCACAGTAGGGCCTCCCTGAGCTCCAGAGCCTTGGATCCATCAGCTGCCCGACCTTCCACAGCCCCCAAGCTCCCTCAGTCTGCCATCTTTGTAAATGGTCCCTCCATCCACCAAGTGGCTCAGGCCAAGTATCTAGGCATCACCCTTGGGTCCCCTGTTTCCCTCACCCCCACATCCAGGCCATCAGTGAGTTTCCATCTCCAAAATATCTACGGGTCGGGCTGCTTCTGACCTCAAGTGCTCCCAACTCAGGTCCAAGGCACCCCCTCCAGTGGTACATGCTGCCTAATGTTTAACAACTGGCACTCTGGGGGTTAAAAAAAAAAAAACCACCTGATTATTCTGTAGCATTTGCCCATTTCTGTGGTGTAAATACCCTCACCCTGGCCAACTTTGAGCTACCAGTGTGACACCATCGAAGGCCCAGCAGGGAAGCTCTGGGAAGGAACCGTCACCATGTAGCATTTCTATCGTACAGATAGGACAAGCGATGCTGAGCTCTAAAACACAGAGAATATACTAAAATGTACTGAAAGACTTGGGAAGTGTGAGTTCTGTGTACTTATCACCTTTGTTTGTAATGTCATTACTTGTAATTTGTATTATATAAATCTAACAGATAACTTTTATAGTATGATTCGTTTCTAATAGGGCAATGCATTTTTTATTGTGCTAAAAACATACATAAAATAAAATTTATCACTTTAACCACTTCTAAGTGTACAGCAAAATGGCATCAGGCGCACTCACGCTGTTGGGCACCCATCAGTCCCGACCATTCCCAGGACTGTTGTCGTCCTCCCAAACTGAAACTCCTCTATTTCCATCAAATAGGAGTCCCTGTGTCCCCCTCTGCTCCCACGGCCCACGGCAGTCACCACTCGACTTTCTGTCTCTGTGAATTTGGCTGCTCTAGGGAACCTCACACAAGTGAAATCATAGTGTTTGTCTTTTTGTGCCTGGCTTAGTTCACTGTGCATAATGGCCTCAAGGTTCATCCATGTGGTCGCGAGTGTCAGGATTTCCTTCCTTTTTAAGGCTGATATTCTATTGTACGTACACACCACATTTTGTTTATGCGTCCATCCGTCGATGGACACTTGGGTTGCTTCCATTTTTTGGCTGTTGCGAATGATGCTGCTAGGAACCTGGGTGTGCGCATGTCTCTTTGAGTCCCA